GCGCAATCCGGTCGGTCCTAGTTGCCGGTCACCTTGCCTTTGGCAGAGCCGAAGATGCCTGAAACAAGGAAGAAAATGGAGACTTCCGGGGAGGAACCCGGTAGGAACACTCCAAAGCTCAAGTTAGTGCTCTTGAGAAGGCAAGGGGAATGAGGGACTTCAAGACTAGAAAGCACAAGAATGACATACTTGCTTCTTTGGGGGAAGGGGGCCTTTTATAATCACCCTGGTACACTCACTTCCATACCTCCGCCAGATCGGGTGTCATCATCTCTGCCAGACGCCAGTTTGGGTGTCATAACCTTTGCTAGTTGCCAGTTCGGGTGTCATAACCGCCACTGTCCTCCTTGTCAGGGCCATCTCTGCCACGTCTGAGATGGCGGTTCAGGTGGCCGTTGAAGGGTGGCTGTCATGTGTCGGACCCCTAATCAGTTCGGGTTTTTGCCCTTTGCGCTCCTTGTAAGGCTCAGGACCTCCAAGGGAGAGCTCGGGTTCTTCCTTGGGGAACTCGGGTCGTGGGTTCCTTTTTTGGGGGAGCTCGGGACTCCTTTTCTCGGAGCTCGGGTTGTGGGCCCGCTGTCGTGCCAAGCTGGCATTTCTGTCAGGTCACTCTTAGTTGCTTCCACGTGTCGCATGACCAAGGGGTTGGGCCAAATCTTCCTCCATCAGTTGCCATCAAAAGAGCTCAACAACGAGGTGGCATTCGGTTCAAAACAGAGGTCGAGATGTTATCTCGGGTTCATCATAAGAACCTTGTTAGCCTTGTTGGATATTGCTTTGAGCGAGATGAACAAATGTTGGTCTATGAATATATTGCAAATGGTACTCTAAAGGAAAGCCTTTCAGGTACTTGATCTGATCATATGTTCTATATATATAGTAGTACCCTTGTTGCTTTTCAAATGAATTCCTCTCGCAGACTGGACACCCAAAATTAAAGNGGGAGAGCTCGGGTTCCTCCTTGGGGAGCTCGGGTCGTGGGTTCCTTTTTGGGGGAGCTCGGGGCTCCTTCTCTCAGAGCTCGGGTTGTGGGCCCGCTGTCGTGCCGAGCTGGCGCTCCTGCCAGGTCACTCGGTTGCTTCCACGTGTCGTGCGGCCAAGGGGCCGAGCCAAATCTCCCTCCATCAAATGGGATGCTGGAATTTTGGCTAGGACTACAAGAGCTTCTCCGTGGAAAGCTACCCATGCTTCTTTGCCCCTTTTCTTGCCCTGGATCAAGTATGAATTGCACTCTGGTAACCTCATTAAATTTTGGGAACAAGTCTAGATTGGGGATTCCCCATTCAAGGATCAATTCCCACCCTTGCTTGCCTCATCTAACTTGAAGAACAAGCCTATCTCCAATTTTCTAGTACCTTCACTTGCAGTCCCAGGGTTTGGGTGGAACTAGACCTGTTCATGGACAGAGCTTGGGCTTGGCTTTTGTAAAAATTCTAATGGGCCTGACCCGAGATAGTGTAAAATTGGAGCCGAAGCCCAGCCCGTGAACAGGTCTAGGTGGAACTTGGGTTTGAGAAGAGCCATTAGGGATTCAAAGTTAAAACAACACCTTGACACTTTTTAAGTATTCTTGAGGGGGTCTTTTTACATCCCACAAAACCTGATAGTAGAGTTTGGACTCTATCAGCCTCTGGAGTCTTCACTTGTGCATCCTTTTCCAAAGTTTTATTTCAATTGACTAAGTTTTTTAGGCAAGCCTTCCCTATTAAGGATGTTTGGTGTAAACCTATTCCACTTAGGGTTGGGTGCTTTTGTTAGGAAGCATTCTTGGAAAGGTTCAGCACTTGTAGAGATGGAAATTTGACCCGCCCTTGTAGGGCCCCGCCCCAGTCGAAGCGGGCTTTTTTGATTACTGATCGGGGTCCGGAGTGGGTTCGGGGAAACCCGAAACTCTAGGGATCAAGGATGGGGTGGGGATGGTATTTGTCCACCCCACCCCGACTATATTATGTAACATAATATATAAATATATATATAACTATTACTATATGTTATATTATAACATTACATATTATATTATATTATACAAAATAGTTCTAGATAGGTTTCAAGAAAAATAAAACAATAAATTTATAGTACACAAGTAGGAATGACTGGGGCTGGACGGGGCGAGGCAAATTAAGGGATCCCCATTCCCCACAGGGTTAGAATTTCTTGCTCCGCTGGGGTTCGGGGCAAGGCATTTGAGTTCGGGGTTGGGACAGGGCAGGCAAAACCTGGCCCCGACCTAATAGTTTCTTATCTCCTCGCTAGTGTGTTCTTTGCAAGTTTAATGGTGAGACTGTTTACCACTTACTAATATCCTACTCTTTTGCTAATTGTATTTAGGAGTGGTGTTTTTCTTTGTTTGGGTGCTGGACCGGGAAGAAGGGAATTGGAGAGTTTTTTTCAAAAAGAGAAAGAAGTCTTCAAGATATTATGGAGGTGATTCATGTTACAGTGGTACATTGGCATAAGTCTTTGGATTTGTTTAAAGACTTTTCAGCGGTTGATTTGATTAAAAGCTGGGGGAAATCGCAAACTCAGATCTAACTAAGGACAACACCCTACTCACTTGGACCCCCCTTCCCCATGGCTTCTTCAAATTAAACTTTGATGAAAGCAGCATTGGATCCAGGTCCTTCAGGTATCGGGGGTGTTCTAAGAAATGAGGAGGGTGTTGTAATAACTCTTTTTTCTGGGCCAATTGGAGTGGGTGATTCTCTATGGACTGAGATTTCAGCATTATTGGAAGGAGTTCAAAGAATTAGAGAGTTGAACATCACCAAGTGATTATAGAGGGAGATTCTAAGCTGGTGGTAGGTTGGCTAAGGCTAAAAGCCTAAAAGAAGACTTGGTTGGGTTTTGGAATTACAGTAATGAGAAGAGGAAATTTAAGTGGCTGACTAATGATATGGAAATAAATTTGAACTGGGTCAAAAGAAGTGCCAACTCTTTTGCAGATGGGTTAGCCAAACAAGGGGTGACTAGGGAATCTATGTTTTGGGCTCTCTTGCAATCTATTATCTTGCTTGTTTTTTTTTCTGTTTTGTGGCAGGAGAGTTAAGAGAGCTTATCTCCACCTTTTTCTGTAATTATTTTTCTTTAATCTTAATGAAAGTTTCAAGTTGTTGATCAAAAAAAAATCTTGAAAAGAGAACGCCCTATTGGTATCTTTCTCCTAACATGTAATTTATTTATAGAGCAAACTCTGAAACTACTTACCACTTGCTAATCTTCTGCCTGTATACTATTTGGAATTTCTTTTTTTCCTCTCTTTTTAGAGGTAGGTGGAACCCACCGGAAGATGTCGGAAGCATCTTCAGTACCTCATTTTTCTCCCCAAGTAAGACAAGAACCAACTTTATGTGGAGATGTAAAAGTGTGACTTTATTATGGGCAGCTTGTGAGGAAAGAAACACCAGATCTTTTGATTATAAGAGAAATGAAAGAAGCAATAACAGAAAACATCTCAGTAAAGGTAGTCCATTGGATAAAAATATTGGAAATGTTCTCTCCGTTCTCTACTGATGACATCATACATAATTGGTATTATGTGGCAAAGTCATCATTGACAAGAATATCTCTATAAACAGCATTTGCTCTCTACCAGAAACTACTGTTACTAAGCCAAATTTTGATCGCTGCAATTTGGAGAATCCAGGAGTTCAGGTAGAGGCAAAGATTTTGTTTGTGTGTTTTAAGTAGGATGGTTTATAACAGTCCCTCAATGTATTGATGAGGTTGCCCCATTGATCTATCTTGCATGCATAATCTTCTTCAATCTAGAAAACATTACATTTCCTTTTTCAGAAAAAAAATAATAATTTTTGACAGTATGGGGAAAAACAAATAATAATGATGGCAACATTTTAGTATTATCTTCTGGCCCTTATGGATATAGTGATTCCACCACACAGGCAGAGCTGCTAGCTATGTTGCAAGGGCTGAAATAGTGGAAATCATTATAATACAATGACTTCATAGTGGAAAGGGATTCTGCTTAAAGGAGTTTGGACTGCTTTAAGAAAAACTGTTCAGGTCCTTGGATGCATAAACATGTTATAAGAGAGTTAAAAAAGTTTTGGTTGGGGAAATAAGAGCTTGTTTGGTAGCTTTTGTGTTCACGTTGAAACACTGCCAATCAGTGCCACATAGGTAATTCCACTTCAACATTCAAAAAGCAAATTTGTAGAGCAGATTCCAACTTGAAATAAGAGCACCGCATTTTGCTTCATGCTTCACAGATAGAGATCATCGGAAGAAACATCAAAATGACATTTCTCGAATCTTGAGGGTATTCCTGCTTCATTTGTCCTATGTTGTGCCAAATAGAACCTAAGTGTTTGAAAAAACAATGAAATATTATATTTGGTCTTTCATGCCAAAAATCTCTTTTTCTCTGTTGATTATGTAGCTTGGAAAACAGCATGGTAGATACCATGATCAGCCAATTTTTTTGTTGATGCATTGGCAAGGAAAAGTGCAGCAAGGAGTCAATTCCCAAGTTGAAGCTTATGCAAAACATTTGCAAAATGATAAGAAAGGGTAAATGGCAGTCTAGCAGATGCTAGCCCACTGGAAGCAGTTTGGCAATAATGTGTGAATGTCATTCTTTCTAATTAACTAATAAATCAGATATATTATTGATAAAAAAGGAATTATTTGATTTTTGTGTATGGCTAAAAAGAAAAGATCTGCATATGAACTCATGGTGATGCATCTTCCTGTATGGGTATTTATAAGCATGGATATAAGCATTGTTTTGTAAAAACTTTGAAAAGGAATAAACAAAGTGGATAGACGTCTTTATTCCATGGTTTGATTACAAGAGAAAGAAAGGAAAGTGGCTAACATGAGGCATTAGCTTTACATTGAAGTTGTTCAGGCTGAACCGACCACATGCATCAAAGAAGAAACATTTCATAGATATCCATAAAAAAAACAGGCTTTTTATAGATACCTAAATGGGTTATTTTTAACATGTTTTTCAACCACCAAATTAGTTTACTTATAAGTACCTTTTTGTCTTCTTTCTCACGAAGTTCAACTTTAGTTTCTTCTAGGTGGACAAAATCAGGAGCTGTTATATTGATAGTAATGAGGCTTGTCCCTTTATTCTGAATCAGAAGTGAAAGATCTGGAGATTCTGGGAAGCACAAATTATAACTTTATCATCCACCAAAAAAATTATCTTAAGTTTTAAATATAAAAATAACTTAAGAACTCAAGACATGCTTAGACCAGTATAGAACATTGAGCTATAATGAAAACATCCCAAGACAGTTTGATGTAGAACAAGTGAAACATGGCAATTTGAATGTTTCATTTGCAGGTAAAAGAAGCTACAAATTTTCTATAATAAGAAAACTAGATCCTTGGAAAAATCTCAGTGCATCTTTTTCTTATACACAGATATGGTGTGGAAACCTAGGAATAACATCCGCAATTAGGACTGATATGAGGGATCTGTCTACGATATGAATGAGAGCCACCAATGCACGAATGACTAGTATGGCCTATGAAGCATGGGTCATAATCCATGGTGTAAGAGTCACAACTCTAGCATTCTATTAGTGGCCTCAGTCCCCCCCCCCCTTTTTTCTGATCAGAAATAGTGGTCTCAGTTTCTAGTCAAAATGCATACACACAACTCTAGACACTTCTAGGCTCATTTTTTGATCAGTCACACTTCTAAGCTCATTCCAGTAGACACTAATGTGCCTGAGACAATAATAAACCAAAAATGAATGACCAACAAAGAATAACACCCTTAACAGCATAGAAAAACTCTAGGGTCTAGAGGAAGAACAAGGTTGCCCGATAAATCTATCAGTATTGTGCTTCTGGAGTTAAGACTGTCTGGAGAGAGAGAGAGAGAAGGAGAATAATTTGGTGCCCCTACCGGTTAAAGTTCATGGAATGTTGATACACATCTCATACCTCTAGATTTCTTTTGGAGAAAATTTCAAAACCAACTAAACTCAACTCAACCATAACCCTATTATCTGCAGTTCACCATACAAACCCTGCCCTGCCATTTTGCTATATCAAAAGTCATGCTTCTGTCAAATTGCAAGCCCTTCTTGTTTACCACTTCAGACCAAAGTTTTAAAACAAAGAGGTGTGATGTGGGGTGTTCCACTACCCACGTTCCACTCCACAGGGTGTTCCACTTCATAACACAAGAAGCGTAAACCTAATCAAGAGGAGGGAGAGGAGTAGTTCTTTTATTTTCTTTTCTTTTCCTCAGAGGAATCCATACTACCCTACCTGGAGGCGCACCTCCAGTTGTACACCTCAAATTCCCGTCTTTAAAAGCATTGCTTCAGACTATGATTTCTTTGGTGCTCCCCTTGCTCTATTAGAACCTTCTACTTTAACCAAGTCACTCCTACCTGGTGCAGTCATTGCCGAGTCTGCTCTAATGCTCTCATTTCTGACTTTGTAACCTTGCCACTCATCCATCTTGGCAACAATCATAAACATGTTTCTTGATTGCTCAGCACTCTGCCCCATATAACTATGGTGAATATCCTCTCTAATTTCTCCTTAATTATGGATGCTTGAACAATGGTACCAAAAATGGTTGCTTTGGGGTATCCCTTGACCATCAATCTTAATTGCACTGCCAATGTTACTAACATCATTACTAAAATTACAATATACATCATGGGACCCCCTCTTGTAAATTTCTAGTTAGTTTATCCATAAATGATGCAAAATGATAAACTAAGTGCTGACCCTTGGTATAAAACCATTATGATTGAAAATTCTCGTCTCTCCTTCCTGAGTCCTTACATCGGTTATTGCCCCTTCACGCATATCTCTAATATATAGTTATATACCTACTGAAGGTCCCTTCCCTTCCCAAAACCCACCAGATGACTTCTATAGAGACCCCATCATATTCTTTTTGCAAGTCAATAAATACCAAATGAATCCAAATTAGTTTTCTAATACACTAGTTCTATTCATGTCTTAACCACTCACCCCTTCTCAAAGTTTCATAGTATATAGCTCACAAGCTTAACCCTATGATGATTATTGTAACAGGCAATAAAAATTTAAAAAAGTTGATGGAAGTTGATGGCTCTTAGGGAGGACCTAAAAGTTTGGAAGAAGGAGGTTTTCGGGAATATTTCAATTAAAAAAGCCGAATTGCTCGTAAAGATGGCAGACCTAGAGAGATTAGAGGAAAGGGATATCTTATCAAGGGAAGGTAAAAGGGAGAAGGAGAGTGTGAGAGGGGAATTATTGGAGGTGATTCATATGGAAGAAGTTATGTGGAGGTAGAAGTCAAGGGCAATTTGGCTAAAAGAAGGTGATAAGAATATTGCTTTCTTTCATGCACAAACAAGGGGTAGGAGGAGAAATAATTTCATTTCTAGATTAGAAGAGGATTCCAGAATCATTGATGATCCAAAAGAAGTGATGAAGGAAATTAGAAAATTCTATATCAACTTGTACGAGGCTACCCCAAGTAAAAAGGTTTTCTTGGGTAATGTAGAATTAGGAAGGATTGAGGAGGGCTTAAGGGCCTAGTTCGTGGAAAGGGAGTTTGATGAAAAGGAAATTTGGGAGGCAATAAGTATTATGAAAGGTGACAAGGTTCCAGGTCCCAATGGGTTTCATATATCTTTCTACAAAAGTTATTGGCATGTGCTAAAAGAGGATGTATTGAGGATGTTTAATGAATTTTGGCAGGAAAAGATCATTAAGAGAAGTGCTAATGCAACCTTCATATCTCTAATTCCAAAAGTGGAAGGAGTCTCTAGAATTAAAGACTTTAGACTAATCATCTTGATCTCAAGCTCCTAACAAATCACTGCTAAAGTTCTCTCTAGAAGATTAAGATCCATCTTGCATGATGTTGTGGGCCCAACCCAGATGGCTTTTGTAGAAGACAGGAAAATTCTTGATGGGGTGATGATTTCAAGTGAATGTGTTCACTCAAGGCTGAGAAATGGTCATCCAGGTTTAGTTTGAAAGCTTGTCATTGAGAAGGTTTATGATCATGTGAATTGGGGTTTTCTGGAGGATATTTTGGCTATGATGGGTTTTGGGGAGAGGTGGAGAAGTTGGATGTTTGCATGTATTTCTTCGATCTCCTTTTCAGTTCTTGTAAATGGAATATCCACACCTTTTCTTCCAAGCTCACAGGGGTTTGAGACAGGGAGATCCGCTGTCACCGTTGTTGTTTGTCTTGGTAGCAGAAATTCTAAATCACTTACTCTACAAAGGATCAGAAGTTGGGATGCTTGAAGGGTTTAGAGCAGGAAGACAATGGAATCTCCAACACTCATCTTCAATTTGCAGATGACACATTGGTATTCTTGGGTGCATCAATTGAGCAAGTGCTGAATTTAAGAGTGATTCTCATATTTTAAGAAATGTTGGCATGACAAAAGATCAATCTAAAGAAGAGTGTGATGATTGATGTGAGTGATATCCCTGATGCTTATTGGAGGATTGGGCTTCATCTCTGGGTTGTTTGGTGGGGGAGTTCCCCTTTACTAATTTGGGCCTCCCTATAGGGGCAAAAGCTTTGGTCTCCTCTAATTGGGCCTCTAAAAGGATTACTCTTTTTTTTTATGAGTTTGGTGGAAGGCTTACTCTTATTAAGAATTTGATGTCCAATCTCATGGTTTATTACCTTTCACTCTTAAAGGCTCTCTTTATGTGATAAGCTCAATTGAAAAATTGCAAAAGGAGTTTTTTTATGGGGAGTTAAAGGGTTTGAGAAGAAATTCCACTTAAGTGGGATAAAGTTTGCAAGGAAAAAAAAAAAAGATGGGGACTTGGGGATAAGAAAGTTGAAGATATTCAATAAAGCCCTTTTAGGGAAATGGTTATGGAGATTTGGGTTGGAGAAGGGTGGTGGCTTGCAATTGCAATATGGGGTTATTGGATTCGGGTGGGACCCTAGAGAAGTGAAGACATCTTATGGGGTAAGTGTGTGGAAAGAAATTATGTGTTTCCAATCAACTTTTCTTAGTCTTGTTTTCTTCAAAGTTGGTGATGGCTCAAAAATTATATTTTGGGAAGATAATTAATTAGCTGGGTATCGGAAAGTTGTGAGATCTTTGCCCTCACCTGTATAGGTTGGGCATGAAGAATATCTCTATTGAAGAGAATTTTGAGATTAATCATGGTAGAGCAATTTGGTGTCCAAAATTTAGGAGGCCTATCTTTGATTAGGAGATCTTCTAGCAAAGTTACAGCCAATTGAGCCTCAGATGGAAAGGAGATATTCAAGATGGTGGAAAGAATCTAAAAATGGTCTATTCTCACTCAAATCCTTCTACAAGTCCTTGTCAAGGTCAAGTGGAGAAAATTCTGGTTCAAAAGGCATTTGGGGAAACTCTGTTCCCCCAAGGGTGGAAGCTTTTGCTTGGCTAGTGGCATTGGATAGTATATTAACATTAAATCATCTTCAAGATAGAGGCTTTCACTTGGCTAGCAAATGTTATCTTTGTGAGAATGTTGAGGAGAATGTCTTTTCATTTGCTTGTTGAGTGTCTCTTCTCCAAGTTCATTTAGGGCTTTTTCTTCAAGTTCTTCAAGGCTGGCGGGTGGTCTCCCAATTCTGTGGAGGAAATCTTCTCCAAATGGCCTAAGATATATGGAAATGTCAAGGTAAAGATCGTTTGGAGCTATATTCCTTTCCCAGTTTGTTGGGAACTCTAGAAAGAAAGAAATAGAAGAATATTGATGAGAAAGCTCGGTCAAGGAAACATATAACACTTTATGCAGCAAACTAATTATGGACTAGAACCTCATTCTCCCAAAGTTTGAAGGAATCACAAAGGAAGATCTTGGCTCTGGATTTTGGAACTCTTTGCAGCTGGCCTAATTGTTTTCTTTTCGTTCATGTGGACTTGTTTTTCTTCTCGGTGTATCTTTCTCTTGTTTTGCTCCCCTTTGTAACTTTGCTCTCTAGTGATATCCTGTCACTATTAGATGTACTTTTTTCTATTAATAAATTTTCTTTTTTTATTTACTACCAAAAAAATCTGTGATTAGTTTGCATTAAGATAAGTTGATCCAGTGGCCTACAAAATGAAAATGTTCTAGGTTTTTATTGGTATTAGTAACTAGACTGCAGTACTTTCAGCATTACATTGTCTAATATATGAATCTTCTGTG